CGTGCATCAAGAACATGCGTAAATTTATATTAATGAGAACTGTGCTGATACCTTGCGAATGTGAAACCTAAGCTTAAAACAAACAATGACTGTAATCAGCTTTCCGGATTAAGTGATTTGAAAAACTACTGATAGCTATCCCTGTTGTCAGCTTTAGATTGATGGATAATTGCTTTGCATTTGTTGCTGCCCCTGAGTCAGGCTGCCGTCCGTTGAAAACACAAAGATTCATACACTGCAAAAAAATGCACCCAAGGCGCAGAATGTGTTTTGAAGCCAAAAAAGCGGAAAGAGCTTAAATGAGTGACAACGCGAACAACTTAGGCGACGATCTAATGGCAAAAACATGTGAAACTTTAATAACAGAAAAAGTGAGATAGTAATGAACTGAACATATTACCATAAGTATATGGGTAGGACGGTTGCTGTAACAGACTTCATGATAGAGCATGCACTGATACCTAATGCTGGGTGGCGACGAAACCATATCTTCAAGTCGGCAGGTTTCAGACACTAGCGACAAATAAATTCATAATTCAACGGAAAAGTTAGAAAGAGGTCATACCAAACGGTGTGATGGAAAAATATGCATCAAAATATCTTCAACATATGAACTCATTTTTTCACCGCGCTGAAAAAAATCAGGAAAACAAGCAAACTTGATTTCTAAAATACCATTAAAGGTGAACATTGAATTGCTCAACGATGTGGTATGTACATATTCACCGTAAGGTTTAAAATGCTTAGAAACACGAAAACCTACTTAATGAAATAGTGCCGATGCATTCTGAAGTAAGGTCACTGTGTTACACTGCCATGTGAACTGACTTGGTCGGGAATCATGGTTATTAGTTGACGCAGTCAATATCCTTAGTCACATATAATTAGTAAGTAATTCGCTGACTGACAGAATGAAAAATTATCTGCAAGTGAGTGAGTGACTGACTCTTTTCAATCCAAACGGCTGCAATGACAAAATGTCGTACGATTTTATGAATATATTTCATTAATCTATTCTGAAAATGAATAAATAAAAGCTTGCAAAATCAACCAAATTACCGTTTGCATAAGTTTCTCCCTTTCCTCTTCCATGTCGACGGACCAACACGCCATGTCACGTTCGGTCTTCTGGGTCAACGTTAGAACAGTCAGCGGCTGATTCCTAACGTCCACTTCCGGAAACAAGTCCGCAAAGTCTGAAACAGTAATAAACCAGTGAAATGTCATAAAATGAAAAGGGCGTGAAAAGCGGTTACCGTTTCTGACCAACTGCGGACAGTCGTAGGCGGAGCACTCCAAAACGTCGCATGACGACATGCCTTCGAGTTCGCCGGAGTCGTCGTGATCCACCCGCTCGTTCTGCACAAAATCTTTTAACGTGGTTATTTGACGTTCCTCGTTTATTGGGTACGTCAGTAACTCCGAGAGGTCTATCTCCCCTGACGACGGTGCCGCTGATGCCTAAAAAGCACTGATCAAAACCTTAGAGACTTAAAGTTCTTCGCTTGAATTGTCACTAAAATAGGCAGACACAGTAATGCAGCTATTACCTATGAACTACCTTCTATCTGTCAACAGAGATAAATCTAATATTAAACAAATAGCTGTATCAATCAAGAAGCTGAATTTGAATC